GTTACAGGTCGAGTAGGAGATCCTGTTTCAAGAAATAAGCTAGCCAATAGACATGCTAATATTCCGGGAAGGGGAACACTCACAGAGCCTCAACCCTAGATAAAGAATCATGGGCAACTAAAGAATGCTGAGAGCCAGAGGAAGAATTCCCCCTAATAAGGTATCCAATAGTGAGTAGTCATCCCTGAAATTATATAATGCAGTAACATTATTCAGACAAAGTAGGTTGTATTTATTCATTTTGGAACACGCACACACGTGACCACAATGAAAGAAATAGAAGTTATAAATTTGAAACAAACCAATGAGGTATATGGGAGGGGTTGGAGGGAGAAAAAAAAGAAGAAAAATTATACAGTTATAATTTTAAAGAGATTAAAAATGTTTAAAAAGAAAGAAAGAAAGAAGACAGACAGACAAACAGAGATAGGGAGAGGAGAGAGAGAGAGAGAGAATAGAAAATAGAGGATTACACCAGATGTCGAACTCTGGCCTCTATAAACATGCACAGATACATGCACCTATACATGTGAACACACACAAACATCATAATACAAAAGAAAAAAGAAAAAGCTAAAAAGGAGAAATCTACATTTATAAACTTCACATTTATAATTATTCTAAAATTAAAAGTTTACTCAAAAAAGACCTTAGTTTGAACTAAGACACACATTACCATGACTCTGCTCTGGGAACGTCTCTTAGATCCTCTGGTTTGAAGAGAAAAGAAAAGCCCCTGTCGCTCCTGAATAGCAACAGATAGCACAGTAACCCTCTGCCACAATTTTAACACAATGTTCAGTCTTCCGTTCACTGTACCTGGATTTTCAATCTTTCTCTTCCTCCTAACCAATGTCCCAATCATTTCTCAACAATAATGTGATTTTTGGACTTATGGTAGCTATGTTGGACCATGAAATAACTTTAGGCTGGAGGCCCACAGCAGTGGGACAGGCATGTTTGTTATCAAAGAAAAAGCAAGGTGATTTTTGAATGCAAACCATCACTTTATGTGTGAGAAAATCCTAAGCAAGGTCACCAGTTCAATTAGAACACAATGTTGTCTTAGCTCATGCATTTCTTATGATTTTTTTTTAAATTAGGCCTTCTGAAAGAGATCTTTACACATATTTTAGCATTAATGTTTATCATTATATCATTTTACACACCCATAAAAGAGACATAAATATACTGTAAAGTATGACTAGACTAAATAAAGTGTGTAAGAGATGGTACGAAGTACTATTAAAAGTTCTTCAGGCACAAATTTTTCAAATCAGTTTTTGTACTCAAGAGTCTTGTGGGACTCTGCATGCCTTCCTTCCCGCCACCCAGATACTGCTGTTTCTTAAGAGTTTTCCTCAATAGCTCTTGGGATTTTCAGGCAATAAGGCCAAAGTAAAGTTTGAAGTACATGCTCAGGCAATGCCGACCACAGCCAACAGTGAGGGTAGGACACTAAACGTCCCTATTTCAAAGACGTGAGAATATAAAGAAAACTGCACCTCTTGGAGTCAGTGAAATGTGACACGAAGTCGCACAGCAGCCCTGAACTGGTTTCCTTCCGTCACTTTCCACCATGGCAGAGAAACCTGTACTTTTCAAACCTGTTTTTCTGGTTTTTGTTACAACTCATAACCTAAACTAACTTAAGTTGAGGCAAGACTTTTAACACTATGTTATAATTACCACTTTCCTTCCGTGCATTCCTCACCCTGCTCCCTTTCTACTAGTGAATCAGATATAAACTCCGTCTTAACCCTTTTAAGTAATATTTTCTAATATAATTTTCCAAGCCCTGCCCTTTACTCCAGGTTTTTTGAAACGAATTCATCAATATGCCTCTAATGCTGAACTCAAAGCATGCGTGCACACACACACACTTTGTATAAAATGTAATTCTAAAATACGAAGCATTATATTTGCTCTCCCTGCAATTTATCATATCTCAATATATGTATGTATTATATATCAATATGACTTATTAGGCCTTTGTCTATGGACCGTTGATATTTCTTGGACTTGTGAAAATAAACTAGAATTGCTGGGTACTGATACAAGAAGAAAGTAAAATATACAGATCAGAAACATGGGGCAAATTCCTAGACGAGAAAAGATTTCGGAGAAATGAAAGGCCGCTTTGTCCTGCTTGTCACACATTTATGGAGAAAAATACATTTCCTCTTCCTAGGAAAGGAAGCACACGTTGTTGGTGACAACCGTCTATTAGGAAATTTCCTTCTGTGATACAGGGATGATTTTTCCCCGTAGAGGTAAATTATTCAGCAGAGTTCATTTGAATCCGTGTTTGAGCCAGAGATGAAGTTATCAATTTTACCATTTCCCCCTAGTCTGTCCTGCTATTATCATTGCCTGAGATTCTGGTACCCATAGCAACAGCCACTGTTTCAGACATCATTCCCCCAAGCAGCAGAGCATGGCCGGTGACTGGCAATCATGTAGCTGTGTGTCTCAGGGTGCTACGTGCCGGGGCTCAACGAACTAGTTATATCTTACTATTAAGTATTTAAAGTGCACTTATCCAGGAACGGAGAAGGTGGCATACCTAGAAGAAGTTTACTTTCACCTTTCCGTCAGTTGTGTGGCAAGACGGGAAAATACGGGAACTTTTAGGAAAGGCCAAAGTCTAGACATTAGAAAGTTAAAAGGGGGCATCTTTCAAAAGGCTAAACATTTCCTATCCATTGTCATAACTGTTTCATGAATTCCAGAACCTGTTTGTGACTGCCGAAACTGAGCCAAAGGGCAGGGACTTAGAGCATGCATGTTTTACTCTCAGCAAAGCAAAGATAAATATCAGTGGGGGCTGGAATCTGGAGACAGCTCAGTGGGCGAAGAGCACATACTGCTCATGCAGAGGCTCCCTGGGCTTGCTGCAGGCGCCCATGCCTGTTATCACACAAACTATCTGTTAGTCCAGCTTCAGAGGAGCTGAGGCTGTTCTCTGGTTTTTGTGAACGCCCACGATCTCTCCCTCCCCCAACCCCTCTCTGTCCCTCTCTCTGTCTCTGTCTCTCTCTCTCTCATACACACACAACTAAAACTGAACTATATACATATTTTTAAAGAAACAGTTGAGTTGCTGCTGTTGGGCCAAGATTTCCCCACCAGGAATTTTTTCTTTTAAAGAAAGGCTGAAAATGTGACCTGACCAACAGGGACTTGTAATGGGCACTCAGGTCTAATCATTGTTAGCCTTTGAGTTTCACCAATGAGGAAATACCACTTATTCAGGTCAAATCAAAGCCTATATATAGGGCTTAATCGGCGTGTCTTCATTTTCCTGCAAAGTCAGTCACAAGAGAGAGACAGATGGGACAAAGAGGGAGGTGTGTCAACCAACACAGAGCAAGTTTGGGGTAAGCTACAGATGACGCCATGAATGGACTACTACAGAAAATGATATAGTGACCAATTCCAGTGCGCAGTGTCCAGCAAGCATGCAAGCTGCTCCCCCCCCACCCCGCCAGGCTTTGAAATGAGCTGGAACTGCAGGTAAAGCCAATGTGTGTTTTGTAGCCACCCTTTATTTACTGCGGGGAAAGGGAAGCTACTCCCAATGCAGAAATCTGGGTAATAGTTCATTCTGGGGATTTCCAACCCTCTTATCTTCCCCGGCGAGCTGTGCAATCAGGTAGGGTCTGCACGGAGGGTTGGGGGTGGGGGGCTGAACAGAGAACTGGACTACCTGCCTGGGTGGTACCTTACTTACTGCCTCTCACAAGTCTCTTTCTAATTCTGAAGGCTTTCATCATATGAGGATTTTGGCTGACATTTAGAAGCCAACTCTACCCTGGACTGGAAGGCACACCGGTAATTAAGGGAACGGCTATAGTGATCAGGGCTGTCTTCACCAGTTTGGGGAATTTCCCTCCCTTCTGGGCCTGGTTATCTGGCTGAATTCCCAGTCTACCCACGCCCTGCTTCTTAACTCATTGATACCCTCAGTAGGAGAGACCACACTGGATCAGAACTATGTTCCCGTCCCAAGTCTATAACTCCCCTTGTAGCTGCCCTTTAAATTCCTACTCTTTCTACTTCCTGAGATTCTTATGGACATAAAATAATAGTATCAATGAACGATCTTGGACCTGCAAAGTTCCACTGTTACTTCAGTTTATTAACCTTGGGGCTATGAAAAAATAGTCATTTTAGTTTGGCTTACCTCTTATTATTGTTTCCCAGGGTAAGCATGTCATGTGTTCTGCTGTCTCTCAGGTAGTCTCACTGACTTACCTGGCATCAGCAAATGCTAGTATCTTCATCATTTAGTAAGTTAATGGGCTTTAGGTAAAGTTCATTTGAATCCAGTTGTTCTCAACCATCATAATGCTGCAACACTTTAATAAAGTTCCTCCCATTGTAGTGCGCCCCCCCCCCCCAATCACAGTAACATGATTTTTGTTGCTTCTTCATAACAGGAGTTCTGCTACTGTTAAAATCTTAATGTAAATATCTGATATGCAAGATATCTGATCGGCGACCCCCGTGTTTAGCAGGATATCTGATCCGCGACTCTTGTGTTTAGCAGGATATCTGATAGCCGTCCCCCCACCCCACCCGCCATGTGTACACTTTGACCACGCATCTGCACTTTTCCCATGCTTGAACACCATGGCTACAGGCCGACCACTCCACTTCATTTCACCCACACTTCACTCCCGCCCCATCCCCAAGCTCACACTGTTTAAAAGGAAATGCTAATTTGTTCTCTCCCAGGGCCTGTGAATATCCTTTCCCTCCCACCTACTTGCGCTCGTAGCTGCAAGGAAACCCGACTTGGGTGTGTGAAGAGACACCCAGATACCCGTTTTAGACCTGCAAGGGAATGTCTTCATTCTTTAAAGGTGAGAATTTGACGCATATGAATCAAGAGGAAACTATTAATATGCTCAGAAAGAAATTTATTGCCAACAGTGCCAAAATAGGATAACTAGGAAAACTTCGGGACATATAACTTGAGCACCTTGCCTGGTGATCTGAGGAAGATCTGAGGAAGATCACCATAGCAGGGACAGTCCCAGTTCAGTTCTCCTTGGTGGTCTCGGCCAGGGTGAGCTTGTCGAAGATGGACTCAGCCAGATGATTTTCCGGAGCCCCCAGCTGGCGCAGGTTTGTCAAGTAGCCACCCATCTCCTTGATGATTTCGACCTGCCGGTTGAGAAAATGGCTCTTCAGGAGCTTGCACAAGTAGATATCACCGTTGCTGTTAGCGAGCTGGTACAGCTGCAGGAGACTCTGGTTGAGTGTCTTCTCCAGGTGGAAAGCACACTCCATCGCCATGAAGCCATCAAACCAGTCGTGACGACCTTGATCGGCAATTCTCCCAAGGGTGAGGAAGCCTTTGCGCTCGCTCAGCAGGAGGAACAGCATCTCGGTGCGCTCCATCCACTTCTGGGACTGAGTCAGGAAGAAGAGTGCGAAGTTCTCCAGGGCCACTTCTTCTCGGTTGCAGAAGAAGGCCTGGGAGAGGTAGATGTAAGTGGCATACAGCTGCAACTGGATCTGAGAGTTGAGGGCAGCGTTGCTCTCAACCAAGTAATTTTGCTGGATGAACTCTGGCAGAGTAGAGGCCATGGCGACAAGGGCCCTCACGCCACGCGCAGCTGTCGATGGCCAGAGCTAGACGGGAGCAAGCGACTCCGAGCTGTGGAGCTGGCGAAAGTGACTGCCTGCCGGAGCCTCACAGTCACTTTTGGGAAAGGAGGACGAGCTGTGGAACCAGACAGGCCTGGCTCCAGGCTCTGGTCAGCCTCTGACGCAGGACCAGAAGCGGTAACCGCCCAAACCAGTGCCCGAAGACAAGAGATGGCGCCGCAATGGCGCCTGGTGCCTCAGGCTGTTGAACCGGTCAAAGGTTATGTCACAAAGGAAAGCCAACTGCATTCCACAGTATCCCAGAAGGCATTGCGCGGACCCTCTTAAAGATGTAATATTGTTTAAATTCTGAATAAACAGCCAGGTTCTTTAAATTGTGTGGATAGTTAATTTTAAGGAAAATTATTTGAACGTCCCCTAATCATGACTGTTTCATTAAAGTAGTTCTTTTCACATGTGACGCCATTATCTCATATCTTTTCACCTTAACCAGTGACGTTGTATATACTAATAACTTTTTTCTCTCTCTCTCCTCTCTTTCTTCTCTCTCTCTCTCTCTCTCTTTCTTTAGTTTTTATTTTTTGGTTTTTCGAGACAGGGTTTCCTTGTGTAACAGCCCTGACTGTTCTGGAACTCGATCTGTAGATCAGGCTGGCCACAAACTCAGAGATCTGCCTGCATCTGCCTTTCTTGTGGAGAGGTCAAGAGCAAGTAAGTGGCTGTGTATCATTGCCAATGCTGACACACCGGGTATTTCTAAAGAATTAAGAGCATGGAGTTCCATCCCCAGAATTTATAGAAGGAGAGAAATGATTCTCAAAATTTGTTCTATGCCTTCACTTGTGCAGTGCCATGCCCCAGCCAGCACATGCATACACACAATAATAAAATAAAATAATGAAAAGTAAATCAAATTCGTGCGCTAAAGACATGGCTCAGCTATTAAGAACATATACTTCTCTTGCAGAGGAACCGAGTTTGGCTCCAAGCATGTAAGTCAGGCACTTCACAACCAGCTCTAGAGGCATTTGATACTTCTGTCCACTGAAGGCCCCTGCTGTCTAGTGCAAATAACCCCCATCCCACCCTCCACACAAACACATACTTAAAAAAATTAAAAATAAATCTTTGAAATCATAAGACCAATCCAGCAACAACAATGAAATGCTGCAGAGTCCAGCGTGGAGTTGCATGCCTTATAATCCCAGCATCTGAGAGACTAAAGCATAAGGGATTTATTTCTAGACAGTCCTGGGATGCTATATTCCTTGTAGTTTGTAATCATCATCAAACTAAAATTTGTAAAATGCATATTTCATTTAACAATTGTAATTAATCAAGGATAGGTCATACAATTATACACTGTACATAGGGCATATTCTTCTACCACGTCCTGTCTCTCGCTCCCTGTCTATCCCTCTCCTCTTAGTCATCTTTGTTCTCCTCTCCTACTCAGCTTCTGCTCTACTTTCTTTTTTTTCTTTTCTTTTTTTTTAAATTATTTATTTATTAAAGATTTCTGCCTCTTCCCCGCCACCGCCTCCCATTTCCCTCCCCTTCCCCGATCAAGATCCCCTCCCTTGTCAGCCCATAGAGCTATCAGGGTTCCCTGCCCAGTGGGAAGTCCAAGGACCACCCACCTCCATCCAGGTCTAGTAAGGTGAGCATCCAAACTGCCTAGGCTCCCACAAAGCCAGTACGTGCAGTAGGGTCAAAAACCCATTGCCATTGTTCTTGAGTTCTCAGTATTCCTCATTGTCCGCTGTGTTCAGAGAGTCCGGTTTTATCCCAGGCTTTTTCAGACCCAGGCCAGCTGGACTTAGTGGGTTCCCGATAGAACATCCCCATTGTCTCAGCATGTGGGTGCACCCCTCGCAGTCCTGAGTTCCTTGCTCGTGTTCTCTCTCCAGGCTAGCTCAGTCGGTAGAGCATGAGAATCTTAATCTGTTCTACTTTCATGGATCTCTAAAAATCATAGCTAAGACAAACAAGAGAAAATGTACCATATTCATTTTCCTGAGCCTGGCTCAATTCACTTAAAGATTATCCCAGCTGTACCTATTTTTCTAAGAACAATACTTCATTAATCTTTATGGCTGAAAAATATTTTGTTTCTTTATCCATTCCTTTGTTACTGGATACCTAAAATGAGTCCCTAACTTGACTGCTGTGAATTCTGCCACAATAAACATTGAAATGCAAGTATCTCTGTGATGTGATGACTTAGAGTCCTTCAGGTAAATACCCCAAAGTAGTATAACTAGGTCATATGGAGTACTTTTTCGTAGTTTTGTTAGGTGTCTCCATAGTGGCTTTCAAGTAGCTGGACTACTTTACATACTCTTTGTCTACATCCTTGTCACGTTAGTTATTTGTTTTCTTGAAATTTCATTTTACTCCAATCAGAATGGCGGTTATTAACGGGATGTTTTAATCAGTCTGTAATTAGGTACCATTTCCATTAATAGGCACTGCCCATTTTGCCTCTTCTATAGGTCTATAACCATTAATCTTTTCTGTTTCTATAGATGTGCTTGTTATAACTATTTTAAATAAGAGTCTCATGCTCTATCAACTGAGCTAGCCGGGCTGTCACGTGACTATTTTCACTAAAGAGAATCACTCTGTATATAGCTTTTGTGTACATTTCTTTCACTTGACTTTAACCTCTATCTCTTTATCATTGCTGAAGAATGTTCTGTTGTAGGACCGGACTGCATTTTATCAATACTTTTTATGTTCATAGAAAGGTTGTTTTAATTTTCTGACTGTCATGACTAATGCTGTTATAAGCATTTACGTACAAAATTTGTAAAGATGTACATTTCCAGTTCTCTTTGTGATATAAGTATGGGTAAAAATAGATCATAGATTAACTCTGTTTTAGACTTTGAGAGATTGCTAGATTGTTTTCCAAAGTGATTGCATCATTTTCTATGCCCATCAGCAATGTTGGAGGATTCCTAACCTTTACAACTTGTAGCCATGTTAGTGAGGGAAAGCAGTTTCTCACTGTGGTTTTCATTTGTATTTCCCCAGTGACTAGTGATGCTCAATATCTCTTCACACCCTTATTTGCTATTTACAAATCTTTGGGAGAATACTCATTAAATCCTTCATCTATTTTACTGTTTTGTATAATTTATGGATATAAGTCCTTTACAGTCATATGATTTAAAAATATTTTCACCCATTCTGTGAATTATTCTTTTCATTTTAGGAGTGGTCTTTTGGGAAATCTAAAATTTCTTAATTTAGATGTATAACTTATACCATTTTTCTTTCATTTGTGTTTTTAGTGTCCTAAGAAACCATTGCCTAACTCAGAAATACAAAGATTTACACTTAGATTTTTTTCCTAAGGCTATTGTAAATTTATATTTAAATGTTTTTGCATATTATATAAATTAAGGAGCAGTTTCATTATTTAAAAATGACAGATTTCTCTTTATTTACATATGTTTGTGAGGGACATTCCCAAAGAGACCAGAACAGGGCATCAGATCTGGAAGTAGAATTACAGGATGTTCTGAGTCACTGGATGTGAATGCTGGGAACCAAACTTCTGTCAAGAACAATATATATTCCCTGAATCACTGGGCCATCTATTGGCCCCCTGGTTCTGTTTTTAGCATGTGAATAATTTCTTGTTCATAGCACCATTTGTTTGGAAGGCTGTTATCTTTTGGGTGATCTTGGTATACTCTTGGGGAGGGAGCAATCCACCATATTTCTGGATACTCAATTCTATTCTCTAAACCTATTCTTAAATGTGTGTCTAAACACTAAAGCACGGTTTAGTTTACTATAATTTTATAACAAATTAAAAAAAATGAAAGTGTGAATCTTTCAACTATCTTTCTGTTTTAGTATTCCTTGGTCTGTTGAATTTCCTTGTGACTTTTAGGATAATTTCAACTTCTTCAGAAGAAACTCCTGAGATTTTGCTGTCAATTGTATTGAATCTACAGGTAATAATTTTTAATTATAATGATATTATTATATTAACATTTTGATGCATAAATACAGATATATTTTAACTAACTTAGGTCCTGAATCCTTTATATCGGTTTAAATTTTAGTCAGGGGCCAATTTTATAAGTAAAATCTCAAGTAATACCAGACTTCTGAGTAGCAACTCTCTAAAAGGAAGGAGGCAGCCATCTCTTACCAATGTTTGGAGACAAGGAAGACACACGTATTGGTCATCACAAGCAGAAATGCCTATTCCAAACTCACAGAGAGAACTTGTGCTAATTATGATTGGATGGCAGTTCCCATTGGGATAAGAACATGCCTCTGACTTTCTGTGAAAAATGGTAAGAGATTTAAAAAATAATCAAAAAATTCTTACTGTGTGTCCTTTTTGAAAAAACTTTCTGAGTATCTCCACTTATCATTGACTTAGAGATATTTTTTAACTGTAAATTGAAAAAATAATAATGCAAATGAATGTTGTCCATAGAAATGCAAATGATTTGTCTAGTGAAATGCAATTAATTTTTGAATCATTTTGCATTTACTCTATTTGAACATTCATTTCAACATTCCTTATTGCCTATACACAAACTCTTTGAGTGAACTTTTGAGCAATTTTTGTAACAACAATTGTGTTATTAGGCAATTTCCCATCATGTTGTTCAAACTGTCCCTGACCTCGTGAAACTTTTCTTCAGCCACTTTGATACATGGGATTACAGGCATGTGCCACTAAACCCAGACTGCATTCGTAATATCATACAAGTTGCCACATTACTTAATCTTTTCCCTATACATAGTTTATATTTATATAAGAACCATGATATTTAATTTCCATCCTTTCGTTGTAGTTTAGCACCACCAATCCTCATACCTATTTCATTACGATCACAGAGTCCACAAAAGTTTACTTAGTAAACGCAACACTTTATATGGGGTGTTCATCAGAAATCTGATTCCAGAAAACTCTTTGAGACCTAAAGGTACAGACATCAAGATGG